CCTAGTAATAATCAAAGCTAGCACACTGCAGCAGACAAGCGGCACAAGGGAATGGGTTCAGGCTCTGCCCGCCCAGCCTCGACATTCTGTGGCCCGCAGCCCTTTACCTCCTGGCAGCTCTTCTGCCGCGCTTTCATGTAGAAGATGAAAGCTGTGTCAAAGGGCCGGCAGGGGAGCAGGTCCAGGTATCTGATGTCTTCAAAGAAGCTGGGCTGGGAGGACTCCAGGGCAATAAGGTGAGGGGGCAGTCGGCTGTTGCCTGGCTCCTGAAACAGCAAAACGAAACACGGTAGGTCTTAATTATGTTAATTAATGACTTAAATCACCGATTCGTTAAACTGTTAAATTGACGTCTCCCCAGGCAGCCTATTGTTTCCGTGTGTAAAGGAGATAAATGATATATACATAGTGAAGAAGGCCCCACTTTGCAGACCACACACTCTCAGCGTACCTTCAGGGCTTCCAGGGACAGGAAACCGAAGTGAGAGAGGAAGAGGCGGGCGCTCTGGAACTCCTGCGAAGAGGGGGGCGGCCTGCAGTCCACCAGCGGGTCTGGGAAGGGCTTTTTCTTCCAGATCTCCTCGCTATGGCGTTCCAGAATGGCCTCGTACTCCACCTGCTTCTCCATCACATTCCGCAGCTTGTCGTGGTGCAACTCCAGCTGGGAACCAAAGGGCGGATTCTGCTTCTGACAAATGCAAAGCTAACTCTGCCAGGCCACCAGATCCATATGTGCTCCCTTCTGTTTTTTTTTTTTTTACTGTATAACAATGCCATTTAAAGAAAAAATATAACAAATACACCCCCCTACTATATACTGACTGAAACACTAACACAATAATATCATAAAAGATTAGTATATATAATGACAATGGGTTTTTGTAAGCAAACCATGATCAATAAAGACACCTACCTCCTTATTTACAATGTCATGTAGGTCCGGGATGCTGAGGTCAGCTTTAACGAATGGAATTTTGTCCACTTCTTCTGGAAAAGGTCTATGCTTAACGTTGAACCGAACGCCAACGTCATTTTTGGGTGTGGGCCGGCCCTCGGGGACAAACGCCTGCTGTCAGCATTGGGAAAAGAACGGGGATGAGTAGGTTTGTCAGGAGATCCCCCCCCCCCCCACACTGAGGCTCTAAAACCTAGTGATATGAAGTATATGAGTAAATCTCACAGAGGCCTGACCCCACAACCTGATGGTGCCGAAGCCATAGGAACGCAAGCCTATGTCATACCTTCTGATTGGCTCGGGCCCCTCTGGGCTGGTGGAAGAGCTGCATGGTCCAGGCGTGTCTCCCAGACATCCCGCGAATCAGCATAGTCAGGGACGGGCAGGGGTCTGTAGGGGGCACAGTAACACTATTAGAGTTTAGCAGAGTCAAGCAGAGTGCTGGGAAAAGCTGTTCACACATACAGCTCAGTGCACTCATTACATTTTAGTTTTGTTCAAGGGACCAATGCTGATGTGCTGGGGACAGGATTTGGACCCATGACCTTCTGGTCACAGGCTTAGATACCTAAGCCAGTGGTTCTCAACTGGTTTAGCCTCAGGACCTACATTATTCACTTGGTCATTAAAGTCACGACCAAATTTGTGTCACTAAAAATTAGTTTCACAAAAAAAAAAAAAAGTGTATAAAAATAGTAAATTGAAAATTGTTTTTTTTAGACCCACACTCCACGACCCAGTGAAAATGGTCCCAAATCCCACTTCCGGGTCATGACCCTAACCCTACTGAATCATAAAGCATGCCCTTACACATACAGCTGGTGCATACACAGAGTTCTTTAAACAGCTTAAAAGAACATGCAAAGTAAACTTTACAATTAACAACCCCCTCTGTTATACTCCTGAAATGACCCATTTCTGTGTTATTTGCAGTAATTATTATTTTTATGTGGAGCAGAAAAGGCCAAAGACACCCACCTTTTACAGGGACTCCATTTGTACTCAAAGGGTAGAAACTGCAGCTGGTGATTTAGTCATGACAGAATTGGGGGGGGGTACTTACTCTGTTCATTCCCCAGAGGCTGCTCCAGCATTGCTAGGATGACAGAATTATCCAGAATGAAGTAACGGAAGTTGCTCCTGCCAGTGGAGTACTTGATCAAGGTGTCCTCGTTTAGCAGGCTGCAGGGGGATGCTGGGCCGCTCGGGGTGGGGAACGTACCCAGGACCTGCATGATACTGTCGAGAGGATGCCAGAGGTGAAGGGGGGGCATTAAAGTGGCACCGAGCCAAGCTGAAGACCTAAAAAAATAAGTCCCGCCCCCCTCACCATGACAGCGTGGCCTCTGCCGCATCTTTGACCCTCATGGAGGCGGGGTTGTGCTCCTTATCACCCTTGTACCTCACTTCCTGGTCACCGGTTTTTGATTTACTCCCCGATATACCCAGCTCTACGATCTCCAGCACCTCTATCAAGCAGTCCTGCAAGGAGACATGGGGGAGTGATGACCCACAGCGCCGCCCTGGTGGCTGGGCTGAGTCATGGCGACGCTGTGGGAGATGGGTCTCATACCTTTTCATCCAGCAAGTCGGGATGCTCTGTCAGCCACACGCACAGGCACTGGAAGGCCGCCACGATCATGGAGTGCAGGTCCCGGGAGTGCAGGGGTGCGGGCCGGCTGCATTGGTACACGATGTAACCGCACACGGAGCTGACGGCACGCTTCCTGTCCGAGGACTCGACGTTGACCTTCACCTGCGTGAGGGAATGAACAGCCGGCAGGAAGTCACGTGACCGAGGCTCTGTGCCTTTCGTGATGTACGAAAATGCACTTTTCAAGTTCAAACTTTCATTTGAACTTGAACAGCGGAAGCAGAATACAAACCTGAGGCGCGTTTCAATTTAAACTTTGTATATCAGATGACTCAGCAGCTCCAAAGAGATACAAACTGGACAACCATACGTCAAACCGCGTACTGTTGCGGTCAAACCGCACAGAGCCTGCACAGAGTTCGGTACCTTAGCCAGGCCGGCCAGTAGCTCCAGAGCTGCCAGTGAGATGCTCATGTCGGGCCTCCACTGCGAGTTGAGCCTCTGGGTGACCAGGTGGATGCATCGAATCAGGAGGCCGGTAGCCGTGTCTGTATGAAGAGCTACGGCGGGACCCGCAAAGCACCGCAAACAAGGAGAGACAGGTATCGTCAGGCATTAGTAATCAACAGCAGAGCCATATAAAGCAGACAATTTGTCAAATTCCGCATCATTAAAGTACCCCAGGCCCAACATATCAGTTGCCCGGAGATGGAAACGACAACAGACAAGTATTTCACACAACCCACAAGTCCAAACCAAAGAGAGTTTCTACAGATTGTGAGCAGGATGGGTAAGTTACACAGCAGCAGCCATACATTAGGTCAAAACACACAAAATATTGTCAAAATTAAGTTTAAAAAGTAAATAAAGATCTAAAATGATTTTGGATTTTGATTACTACTGCCCTGCGATGGGTTGGCGTCCCATCCTGGGTTGTTCCCTGCCTTGCACCTGTAACCTCCAGGATAGACGCTGGACCCCCCGCGACCCTCAATTGGACAAGCGGTTTCAGAAAATAGATGGATGGATGGATTACTATTGCCATGAGTAAATTTGTTCATTAAGATGAACTTAGGGCTGCCATTAACGGCTATTTTTCTATGGATTAATCTATTGACTATTTTACCGATTGGTTGATTGATCTAAGTGATTCATTTTCCTCCAGAAAATCAAGTTGACCATTTAATTTAAGGTAATTTTATTTTGACAAAAACAAACTGTATGTCATTGCACAGCTTTAGATAATGAACACTGGCTTCTCTGCACTATACACACACATTATCTTCACCCACAATTCCATAGGCAGAGTAGTACTATGCCTAAAATATCAATGACATGCCGATTGTGATGTGCAAAAGTTAGTAAACTGTATAAATTCCACATGTCTTTATGCTTATTAAAATCGGTTAGTGGAGCACCACATGCTACTATCTTGGTATATCACGGAAATGATGAGCACTGAATTGGTGGTGAAGAAAGTTACAGCTTAGCAACTACATCACCTTTTAAAAGAGCAGATATTGTGGCTAAACTAGATTAAAAAAGTCGTTAGTGAGATGGCGGTACTGTTTGCTGATTGATGTCCGACACGTTTTTTAGGTAAGATTTTTTAAAACTAGTTTCCGTTTTCCTTTCAGTTTTATTTTACAGTAATAACACTGGTCCCAACAAGCCCAACGCAAAAACACTGCTAAAGTCAATCAAGGAAGAATAAGCCCAGATTTTAGCCTCAGCATTTTCTCAAACACTTATTCAATGAAGATTCTAAGGTAGCAGGCATGTAACTCTATGGGTTTCATAATGAGTATTTGGCAACTATAAGGGCAAAAGATATTTAAAAGCTTTGCATACTAATGGTAACAATAAATATGAGTAGACAACACTTATGGTGGTTTTGCCTACTCTGGCGGTTCATCATCCAGAAGAGCGCCTGTTTTTTTCCCTTTCAGGCGCTCGTACATAGCGCTAATGTCACTGTGGTATGCCATTGAAACTTTGTACAGTGTAAAACCACCTTTTTGTTTTGTGACAATTTGAACTACTCCAATAATTAAATAGTGATACTAAAAGAAATCATTTGCTATAATTAACCGAAGCATTTTAGAAATCATAAAGGCGATTTCATTAAAATAAATTTTTAAGAAACGATGCGTTAATTTAAAATACTGATTGACGCATTTTCAGCGTCGACATCATCGACTACATGGACTAATCACGGCAGCCCTAAGACTAACGCTAATCCAGCTCACTATCCAATCAGTCCTTCCTGATGCCTCCACCTGACCTCCCAAAATGGCTGCCATTTTCATTGCGTGAAAAGAGGGCATCTTCTGAGGTATCCAGCCTCTTTAACCGTGGAAAAAAATGCTAAATCAAAGTGCAGATTTAACCTTTTTGATGAAAATGAGACGCTTTTGTTTGTATGGGAGTGTTCAAATCCAGCTACTACCAATGTAGCAGTCTATCATCTGAAAGGTCACATCACAACAAGCATCTACCGTTCCATTTTTATAGCAGAGAGCATCAGAATACTCATAAAATCGTCTTTATACAGGTTAAATGGCACAGCACCACTCCAAACATAACACAAAAATCAAGCTTGGGTCATATGCATTTTTACCCAGAGTTTTTTTGTTTACATCTCCAAATCACAGTTGCCATGACTGCTTAAAAAAAAAGAGGGTGAATAACATACAAATTATTTCTATATGTATATTAGCTGTGGAAATAAGAAATAAACAGTGTATGGATTTAGGGTTAAACTACTATATTACGGTTTAAATGATCTGATAGACCCAGCATATATAGCAACATACTATAAAATTGCAAACAAATCCAGCACAAATTCCACAAGAGAGACAAGACCTGAAACGGCTGCTAACATCTGCTTGACTAGGTACTGTACCATATTCCCGGAGGAGGGCCTGAGCTGGTCGCTCACTGTCTGGGGTGGTGACATCAGAGCTCCCCCCGCTGGTGGAGCTGATGCCGCTGTTGTTCCTGCTGTGGCTCTTCGCTGACACGTGGCAGCTCTCGCCGCTGCCCTGCGGCACCTGCCGAGGAAGAGGGCCGTGGATTTTTAACCACGTCTGCTGCCGAGCCAGACAAGCCAGGTCAACTTAGCTCCTTGTAAGACTCATTCAGGTAGCGCACTACTGGAAAGTGTCATGAAACGGCAGAAGGGAATGCCAAATAAGCCATTACCAGTTCAGCCTGGGTCCCCGTCAATTCTAAAACTGCAGAGTCCTGGACAATATTCAGCATTGCACCTATAAAAAAATAATTGCAAAAAAATTTAATACAACAAATATGTATCTCCAGTCATAATTCAAATGGCAACGGGGACCAACCCAGAATCATCTGTGTGTTGTGGGGGTCAGTCTCAGTCTGCAGGGCACCGATCAAAATGTTAATCAGACGCAGTTTTAAGGAGAGAAATGTCACAGGCTTGTCATGGTACGTGTTGTCATCGTTGCTGAACTTCCCTTCCAGAAGAACCTGGAAAAATCAGGAAGAATGAATTTGGACTTTATGATCCATACTAGAAGAACTACTAGACGAACGACACACCTGCTAATCATGATCTACTTTTGGACATCATGCCCTCTGATGGGTCAGTACCACTGAACAAAGAAGCCGCAGCAGAAGTGTTTGGATGACCTTAAGGGGCTCCAGGTGGCTCCAAAAGCTTTTGATAACAGAAAAGATTTACCAAATTACCTGGGACTTCAAGTTTCCAAAATGATGGGGGAGGGGCAGCATCGATAGCAGAATGCTAATGGAGGCTCTTCTCAGGTCCGTCGGATTAACGTACGTCTTGAACTTGGACAGTTCCCTGAACATGGGAATCCAAAGCTATCAGGAGCATTCTGTGGACCCTCAACCCAAAAACCTAAAGGGCAGCTCATCAACAGAAAAACACTTTTGATGTGTTTGCCTCACTCAACTAAATCATTGCTAATGCTTTAGGACGCATAATAATATTTTGAATAAAGACTACATATCCCATTGAATAGAAAAAAAAAGATAAGCAAAGAGCAACCATCTGCCCATTAACAATGTAAGCTAGCAAAATTATACAGCGGTCTCAAATTACCAAGATATAGTTAATTGATGAGTCGAGGCTCCACCCAATATAATGAATGTACATCCATCTATCTATCCATCTTCCAGCCACTGACAGCCAATCTAATACAGGGTCATATTGAGCCTGGAGTGTATCCCACAAAGCACAAGGCAGGGGACACCCAGAACAGAATGGGTGTGCATGCAGGCTACAGAAACCCACTCACTCAAACTTGGGAAGAACATGCACACAGGAGGAGAGAATCGAGCCTCACAACCCTGAAGATGTCAGGCTATGTCGTTACCTACACAAGCAGTGTGCCACCCATCAATTAAGAAACAGGTTAATGTAAATAAGAGTTCTCACCGATCAGGCAGAATAGTTTCCAGTGCAGAGATAAAGTAAGGGACCACGGCATTGATCCCCTTCAGGTCAGAAGAGAAGAGAGCAGATGAGTTAAGGATAATGCTGGCCAGCACAGGGCGGCAGATGAATTCGGAGATCTGAAGACCCTGGATAAGAACCATGTAAAACCTGCAGAGAACGTCTCCATTTAGTTGATGAAGAAATTGCCAGGTCAAACTACAACGAAATCTAAAGCAGACCTGTAAAGATTTAAGGTTAAGTCTTCATCTTGGTTTATTGCATTAATATTGTGGCCTTCTTTGAAAGTTACCTGGAGAGGTAGACAGGAAGAATTTCCTCCCCAGTCTTCTTGCTACAAAATATCCTGCATAGTGTCCCGCATGCCTCCGCCCTTCCCGACTCGTAGTTGTCTGGGAACTCATTGGCGTCAAACATGGGGTTGGAGACCATAGTGTCTGTAGATATCTGGGAGCCCTTCCTACGCAGCTCCACTCCAGCTTGGGTGGCCAGGGCTGATGGGGCGAGCAGAGGACACAAGCAGAATGAAACCAACCACATCTCCCACTGGGACATCTGACAAAGGTACCACTAAGAGGGAAGCTGTTCTCCGCTGCTGCTAGAGAGACCAGTTGGACATCCAGTGTTTTCCAATAAAAGATTTGGTTATAATTCAATAACTTATTCAATAGTTCATGCCGTAAATACACCCAAAAATACAGAACAAACATTATCAGAGGAAGAACTCTTAATAGTAACACACAGAGAAGCCGTAAATAGGCGTTTTCACACCGCAGAACCAGAACTTTTTTCCAGAACTAGGAACTTCTGTCAGGTTCACATTGCAGGAACTCGGCCCGACTGTACTTCCTCTGAGGCAGTTCCCGAACCCTTTAGTACCTACTCCAGACTAGGGCTTTAAAAGTACCCTTTGCAGGCTGTGTCCTTCGAAGGTTCACGCAATGAATCTTGGGATTCTGGCAAGAGAATAAGGCTGCATTTGAAGGGGCCTTTCAAATGGAGCAGCCTTGTGTCGCTCTGACACATTCGGTCTTCAAATGCAGCCCCTGAATTCAAACATTGACTAGATATTCTCGTTAGAATATGAACTACTGCGGAGGAGCTTAGCGATAGCTTGCTGATTGGTTGACCACAAGCACTGCCAATAACTCTGAAATTACCTGGAAGTGTGGGGAAGAGAGATAATACTAGCTGAACAAAAATTGAGCAGATAGAATTATTTTTGCACTTCAGTTACATTTAATGAATATAATTTTTGCTTGTGTGTATCTCTGCGTCAAAAATTTAAATCAGAAAATCAATATACTTTTGTCCAATATCACTGATGTCGGTGGTGAAACTTGGCAGTGCTTTTTAGCAGAATAAGATCAAGTGTTTTTCAATTCTGTGAAACCGAAAGATCAATCTGCCAGCCAGATTTAATAATGATATATAAATATGTCGTGGGCTGTATGAGAAAAACATAAATAAAAGGCTGTGTCAAATGTAGATCGCAATCGCTCCCTAACAAAAAACTAACAGATAATTTAGCAAAACAGCTTGTTCATTCCTCATTGTTTTGGCGCGGCGGTGTCTCGGTTTATGTGTGAAGTTTAACCTACAAGCTTTTTGTGTCTCCTATGCTAATTTAGTATAAAGGTCCCAGTTCTGTTGTGCGGCAGGAAAGAGACACACAAAAGTGGCCAGGAACTTTAAAAAGTCCCCAGTCAAGACAGCCCAGGAACTTGTAACCAGGGACCAGGTTCTGGAACTTCGATGCGAAAGCGCCTAATGTCTACATATTAGTTTAAAAGGAAGTCAAGTTTAATCTCTCTGTATTTTATTGTCCCGCAGCTAATTTGGATGAGTCCACATGGCGGGTCAGGTGAATGAAAACACCACGCTTCATCTCTCACTGACAGTAAATGCGAAAAGAAACAATACATCCTTAAGAAAGTTTCCCAAAGCTGTGCCTCATACGGCCGTCTTCTGACCAAACACTGCAGGACACACGTGGAGAATCAAAGTTTCTGTCAGCTCCCAGTAAACTGACAAGCGGTCATTAGTGAACACACACTCACTCCATGCATTAAACACAGAAGAGGGAGGAAAAGGCTAATAAAATGCTAATAAAACAGGTGTCGGCGTTTGTTATTGTAAATTCACTGGACATACGTCACAATCACAAAGTAGCTAATTACAGGGTTGGTCAGATTCATCAAGCCAGAAATCTTTCCCAGCTAGAAACACAGAAAGGAAGTGGACACATTTCACCCCCCCCCCCCCCCCCCCCCCCCCCCCCCCCCCCCCCTCCCTTACCCCCACCCCCACATCCTTTTCCTGAGGATAACAGCGCAACGGCAGGGACTCTGCATCAACAAAAGTTCAAAACGAAAGGAAGCGTGGCGGCAATGGCAACAGGAAAAACAAAAACAAGCACTGAAGTTTGGGAGAAGCTATTGTTCCTACTTACAAGATGAATAAGAAAGAATTTGCATGAAAGAAGTTGCATGATAAAAATAAAAATGGAAGGAATAGCATGTGTACATACTGTTTTTATTGTATCAAAAGCAGCCTTCTAACACTGGTAGCCAAAGGAATTGTTCTAAACTATTCCATTAGGGTTTGTTGTACAACAGCAAAAGCCAGGTCAGACAGGAGCAGGCGCAACAGGAAATAAAAATTAAATGTCACAGCTGGAGAGCTAAGCGTTTTTGGCCCAAAAATATTTCTTTAAAATTTTTTTTTATTAAATATCCTATGATATCTTGGAAAGCTTATTTTTAAGCTTTCCAAGATATCATAGGACACAAGATAGTATAGATCAGGGGTAGTTACTGTACTACGTGGTGTGATTCAGAGAGCAGGTAGGATGGAAAACCCGCTGGACATTCCTGGATCAGGCTGGCCTACCACGCCTGCAGACTCATGAAGGGTGAGCTTGGTGTAAATAAGACTTGACCTGCAAGGGCTGCCATCACTTTTGGAAAGCAGGCAAAAATACGTGCGTTTGAAAATAAGTGCCCTGAAAGTGGGTCGTGCGGGAGAATACGCCCACCCCAGCTACAGCGCACAGCCCCTGCACAGGAAGCGGAAGCGGACGGCGAGAACGGGAGCTTCTGAAAAATAGCTTAAGAAAATGAAGAGGGGAAAATTCTGAGCGGAATGAGGTTATTCCACGAATTTGCAAAAAAAACACTAGACTGCTCTTCTTATCTCTAGTACTTTTTAGCTAGTGAAGCAGATATTAACTCTTGCAGGCAGGAAATACGCAGCCCAGTTGCACTGCTATCCCCCATTCTACCAAATACCTCAGTGTTTTAAACGGCTAACTTTCCTTATTACATTGAACATATTGCATTCATTTATGCAACCACGTATGCATGTTGTATATATCAACCTGACTGGAACTGGACGTGACCATTGTCTTGTCTTAAATGTACAGCCTCTCTCCAGGTTACGATGGGGATACGTTCCGACAAACCTATCGTAAGGCGAAAATATCGTAAGGAAAAAAATGCATTTTAATACAATACACCTAACAAACATCATAGCCTAGCCTAGCCTTAAACATGCTTAGAACACTTATATGAGCCTACAGTTAGGCAAAATCATTAAGTGTTCAATACGTCAATTTATTGAATAATGCACTAAAAGTGAAAAACCATTTACCCATCGTAAAGCTGAAATATCATAACACAAACCAGCACAACCCGGGGAGAGTCTGTATCTATTGTATTTTGAGAGCCATTGACAGCTGGGGACAAATTCTCAGTGCGTGTAAAAAAAAAAAAAGAAACATTCTTACCAGTCATGCTGCTGTCCCGGTTCATTCCATTGTGGAGCCTACAGTGCACCAGAGCAGCGTCAAACAGCCATTGGCCAAACAGATTAAGGATGCTGTTGACCTTGGGCCGTGTCGGGGCGGGCAGGGGCCGGGGCTCGGAGCTCGTTTGGTTTGGGCTAGACAGGGGGGAAGTGGAGGACGGCTGGTGGGGCAGCTTGGGTGGGTAAGACGGGGCTCCCTGTGTGCAGAAACACAAAGCACTCAGCCACCTGCATCGCGGTGGATGACTTACTGACTAAACGGGAGGCTGCTGCCACACACCGTGGAGGACTTGCTGGCTGACCTGGCCCCCCCACCTGGCTTGTGCCGCCGATTGTGAGGTGGTGTGGTGTTGGTGGTAGACGGAGGCGGGGGCATGGTCAGCCTGTTGACAGGAGTGGGTGGGGCGCTGTCAGATCTGGGTCGAGAAATTCCTAGGTAGAGAGGCATACCGGACAGGGAGGGAGGGAGGGAGGGGGGGGGAGGGGAGGGAGAGGGAGAGGGAGAGGGAGAGAGAGAGAAGGAGGGAGGGGGGGAGGGAGGGAGGGGGGGAGAGAGAGAGAGAGAGAGAGAGAGAACCCTGTTATTACCACAAACAGACTGGTCCTGCCTCATTATAAAGAGTTAGAAGCATTAATCTCATTGGTGGTGTTAGCCATGTCCCCCAATCCCAAACAACAGAAAAAATAAACAGACAGGAGGAAAAATGCAATGCAAGAGCACAGCAGCTGGGTTAGAGGTAAAGGTCACCCGAAAGCTACAGTGAATAACCCCAAACCTCAGCAAATCAGCTTCAAGGGGAAGGGATTTGGAAGGGCACTCCTGACCCCCCGGCAAAGAACAAGGCATGCAGACCTGACCACGTTGTGTACAGGCCCACCTTTCCGGCAAATGGAACAGGAAGTAAGTGTGCGTTACTATAGTAACACAGGTGGTAAATGTGTAAACCGAGGGGCTCAATTCTTAGAGAAATTCCAGGTACCGGAATGCATAATTGCAGCAGTTTCACAGCGTAACCAGCCGTGTTTGAGTCAGGAATGCCACTGTGCTCCGTAAGAAACAAGTCTGCTGGAATTTGTTCTTAGGCACTGTGACATGTGGAGAAGACTATTGGACACACAAAGCAAACAAAAAAAACCCAATAAAAATAATAAAATTGTAGCATCACTGATTGATTCTGAAAAACAAATCAACCCCAGTAAATCACTCAATCACTCGAATCGATTTTAATGTGAGGTGGTTACGGAAGTGCTAATGCTAATGATTAGTATATGGTTTTTAGTTGTTCACACTTTAATTTTCACTTATGTCTGAAAAACATACAATCCTTCCATTCACACAAGCATTAGTAAAACAGTGTTACGCTGGATCCAGCTTATTCAGGTATGCAATACCTAAAAGAGGAAGTCCATTACATACTGTACTCTTAGACACCGTAACCCCTGAGGAAGGGAAACAGACAAAAAAAATTCCACTTAGCAGAAGAGAAACACTAACGGCAAACTACAAAACAGGAAGAAGGGACCGTATTGCTCACCAAAGGTCAGAAACAAAAGGTTACGGACATCTGGCAAAAAACAGGCCTATGTATCTATACACAGTGATGTTAGGCTAGAAAACATATGGAAAAATTATCAGAGGAACAGAAACATCAAGCCAAAGGTGGGGACTATTCCAAACATAGGATATTTCTGGTACTTCAAACCGATTCACCTATTTTTTTTAGGCCGGAACTTACACTGAACTTTCACCAAATGTTCCATCTGAACAAGTATTATTTATATATTGTTTGTTCAAGTAACCCATTGACCTTCCTGTAGAACACAGACATCGCCCTTCTTTGAATGTAATGTTTCCATGGCGACCTACAACAGACAAGTCTCCTAATCTGTAACTAGGGAAGACAGGGGGAAATACCTTACTTAAAGTAAGAAAGGAGACTGAGTCTGTGCAAAAACATTTAACTGAAAATGCTAAGTGTTTTTTCCCCCATAATAAAATTCACCCAGTAACCAAGTAAGGTCCAAAGACAATGTAAGGACACAGGATGTAAGGATTTTTTTTCAGTATTGCAGACATACATCCCACTCCAGCTAAAACAGAAAATCACTCCAATTTACTACATGGCTGTAGGCCAGTTCAGTCACCTTCAAGATACATCAGAAACTATGTTCATATGCCAATTTGCTTTACTATTGTGATTCTAGTTGATTTTATAATGTACCACGAGCCAGGACCTAATCTGCACACTTTGAGACCATAAGATCTAGAGCAAGCAAACAAATTCAAAAGAGCGAGGAGACTGAAGAGACAAGTGGAGCGTTAACATGAGACCCTCAGGTTAGAGCTTCTGACAGAGGATCTGGATGGGCGTGCCGGAGCCAGGCCTGTAACTCATAAGCTAATGCGCTAGCAAACCTTTAACCAGCCATCCCTGGTTTATGTTAAACCAGCAGTTTACAGTTGAACAATCCCTTTCCTTATTATTTAGTTTTGTCTGACTCAAAACTCTGGGGACTGGAAAAGCTAAAATGATCTGCAATGATGGTCTGCTAACAAATTTGTACACGAGAGCACAGTTGCATCCGAGTCTGTGATGCCTTTGGCTCCTACTGTAGCATGACACCGAACCTTCAGATAACTCACAATAATAAACAGGCTTTTCACACTGCAGCATCTTCATTGCTTAGAACAATCATGGTCATCTGATAAAAAAAATATGCAAACCTACAAGATAATGAGCTCTTGAAAAGAGAGTGATTGGAATCAGACGTTCCAATCAAATCAGGTTTGGGTTTGTCCTTCCCTACAGCATTAAAAAAAACCACACGATGCCTATTACTGGCTCTTCACAAGAGAATCCTATTCAAGTGCAATATGGCCCAATCAAAAGGAATTTCAGAAGACATGAGGAGGAGATTTCTTGAAGCTTCTTTTACTGGAAAGGGTTACAGAAGTATCTCTAGCTAGAAATCTAGAAAATTCCAAAGGCTTCCAAAGTTTTTCTTACAATTACATATTTTTTTACCTAAAATATACCTACTGGCATTTAATTCTCTCTGTTGTATATTTCTTTGCCCATATTATACTGTAATTATTAGTTGTCTGTTGTCATGGTGTCTCCAACAGCAGCAAATTGCGGCAACAAAATTTGGACATGGTTGTGTGACAATTAAGTTTCTGATTCTTAATTTTGAGTAATGCGATGACTATGCGAAGCTAAGCTAAGCCAAGATTTCTGCCTTGCCATGAACTCTGCGGTCTCTCACCTAGAAACGCGTCAACCAGAAAGCTGACCCCGCGCATGGCTCGGAAGAAGATCTGGGGCAGCTGCTTGAGGCAGGCGTGCTGGACGACTTCCTGGGGAACACCACCGACGCCCAGCAGCTGCTCCTGGAACTTGGGCGTGGAGCTCACGATGATGGGATTGCTCAAGTCCACCGGATTGCTGCAAGGTGGCAAGGGGAAGGTGGTCACGATGGAGGAAACAAGCAAGGCCGGGGTAGCAGGCTCACAGGTAGACGGATAACAACTGACTTCAAGCATTCGTACGCAAACGCGGCGGCGACGCACGCGTCTATCTGGTCCTGACCTCAGCATATGCAAAAAACGGAACCAGGTCTGAGCCACACATTCGTTATCCATCTCTGCTGGGATTAGGCTGGCGTCCTCATCCGGAACTTTGAATGGGGGGAACGAGGGACCATAGGTGAACCGCAACAATCTAAAGAGGGAAAACACGAGAGAGAGAGAGAGAGAGAGAGAGAGAGAGAGAGACATTCATCACAGTGACATTGGCCTGGGGCTAGCAGATGCCGAAATACTAGGAAATTGCTCATTGTAACGATACAAACATTTATCCCAGCTGAGGAGCTACCAACTTGCCTAGAGGTAAGGGCACAGATGACCCTACTCCACTGCTCCACCACCGGGGGGTGATGTCTCCAGTTAGCTAGCATCTCCCTGGCCGTCTTCCAATATGGCGGAGTGGGAAAGCAGCGTGTGCAGGCCAGGAACCAGACCTCAAACAGCACGCTGATCAGCTTCTCTGCCAGCTTTTCTGCAATGCCCCCTACCAAGAGTTGACAAAATGCCAAATGTGCAGAAAGAAAAAAACAAAATTACGAAAATAATAGAAGTACATATTGACATTAGCCTCTACCCACCATAAGGACTGTAACTTGATCCTTAGTGGGAACTGAAGGTTTTAATGTGACCATCTGAAAGCTTCCATTATGGCACTACATGACATAATCCTCATTATTATGAGATATTTTTGTTTTTGCTGCACTCTACTCAACAATAATTAGGTTTAAGAAATAATTAATTAGTGATAAGAAAATACTGCCCGATACTGATAGCCAATTATTTAGAAAACTATCACGGATACCGATTGTTTGGGAGGTTCTGCTAAAATACGTTTAAAGGGACACTCCACCCAAATAAATTAAAAAATAAATTACATTCCAAAAATATGAAAAAGCATGCAGAATTATTAAAAATCTGTCCAACAATGTTTTTCATGTTAAAAGTTTCCCTTTATAAATACATTTTCACATGAACTACATAATAGTTCAAAGTTTAAAAATCTGACCCCACTAACTCAATAAGAGGGTTAGTTGTCGTGGAAACCGTACTGTAACAAGGCCAAAGGAAAGCGACTGAGACAGAAAAAGATGGACACGGGGACCCAGGGCCCGTGTGGACTGACCACCGACTGTGGGTGGGGCCAGCATCGTGTCATTTATGCGCAGGAGGAAGAGCAGCAGCACCTCCCAGGTCTCCCTGACCATGTTCTCAGACTCACGGGCCAGCTTCTGCACAGCAATCAGCACCCGCTGGCAAAGGCGGAAGTGGCTGGGACTGTAATGCTCAGGTCTGTCACAAGGGGGCGAGACAGCAAGAGGACATGTGCAGGTCAGGTTTACCAAGGGACGCGCCATCCGAACCACTTATGCCTGGGACGGGGGGGGAGGGGGCCAACATAAAGGTACTGACGGTTTCAGCTGCTTAAGTAAAAATGACAATTTTTATCGACACACCACCCAACCTGCAGCACGTCAGGTGCAGATCTGGAGGTGATCTCATCAGACTCATTAGCTCAAGGCCACTGGAAACGTGCATCTGCGGTACAACAGAATCTAAACACATGACCGCTGGGATACTTGAAAAACGATATCTATATGAAAATGCTGCCTGAGCAACAATCAGTTCTGCCTTCCAAGCAATGGCTTTAACCGCTTAACTCTGCAGAATATTTAAGCACAGCTGATGATCCCCATTTTACGGGGTGGGGGTGGGGGGCATGAAGTGCAGGGCTAAACCTACAGTAAAATACCTGGGCAGAAAAAGGTTGTGGAGGTGTTTCAGGATAGTCTGCACATAGAGGTTCGGCTCCTTGATGATGGGCTGAGGGATGGATTCCCGAGGAACCACCAGCGCCATGATCCATTCGGTGTAGACGTCAACACACAGCCGAACCGTATCCTCATCCAGCGGTAGCGTGAGCCCATAGCAGAGAACTTCCATCGTCCACTTCACCTACAACGACAGCGTCACCTCAGGCGAGGACCTCGTGTCGGACGTTACGCTAGAATGTCTTCACCAGCTTTCATTTCAATCCTACACTTTCCCGCAAAAAAATATTTAGGCTACAGTCTTAACATAATTATGAAATTGCAGCAAAAACATTACCAGTGTTATTGATGGTTCAGAAGGTGAATGGAAAACAACCACAAAGAACATGTTGTTTTTGTTCTCTTGAAACATGAAGAAAGTTAATAGCCGAGAGAAGGGTAATTTGGACAGCTCCTTCCTCTTATGAGGACATCTAAAAGCAGGACCGCCGAGAAGGAGGAGCCATTAACCGCCTGGGGAAATGCCTGATAAAGCCGTGAGCAAGAATACCCACGAGGGCACGAGGGAAATCCTCCTGCTCTTATCTTTAAGTGCAGCAGCCGAAAGGTACGGAGCCTTGCACAAAATGCATGTACAAGGTGCTCTCGAAAGACAATGGGACTGGCATAAATCACAAGTACTGTAGCAGTACTCACAAAGAGCTAGATCTTCTGAAGAGGAACCCTTGGAATAAAACTCATGATGAAACCTTGGTATATGGATTCAGTTCTGACTGTATGACTAGAAGACAATGAACTGCCTTTGTTTTGATTAGTTTCTTTGCTGAGATGAACATGAACATTTCAAGCCAAAATGCTTTTGACGTTTCAGCCACGGTGGCTGTGGTTAGTTAAGTCATACATTTGGTTAAAAGGACAGGAAAGTAGACAGACAGATCCTCAGACCGCGAACGTACCTCTTTGTCCGTTTTGAGGAGACTTTCAGTCACCGGGGAGCTGAGGGCCAGGGGGCGCACCACGGCGTTGGCGACATCACGGCCCACGGCGGCAGGGTACGTGTGCAGCACGCTCAGGTGGCCCTGGTCACTCTGGACCACAAGGTGCAGGGAGCGCCACTCGGAGTACATGACGCGTGTCGTCTACTCAGCCTGGGTGCCACCTGCGATGCAAGAAAAACGTGGCACTTTTGGCCAAAAAAAGTAAATCTCACTTTTTGCTTTACAGTGGACAATTAGCCAGATATCAATTCATCTTTCATCCAGTACGGGATCACAATGAGCTTTAAGGCTGTCCCACGAAACAGAGCATACAAGGCAGGCGACGCCCTGGATGGGTGAGAGTGCATTTGCTTAACTATACAGGGAAAGCCCATGCAAACCTGGTTAGCAGATGCAAACTTCACACAGAGAGCAGAGGTGGGATTCAAACCTCCAACTTTCGTGGACTGAGACTGCAGTAGCACTCACTGAGCCGCCGGCAAGCGTTTGTCGGCGACAGAGAAGGCAACAAAAACAAACAGCAAAGGACTGTTTGCACTCACATGCTGCAGTTCATCAAAAGTAAGTATGTTCAATGTCATAGCCCTACAGTAACTTATTTTCTGGCATGCCTAATTTTGCCTCTGTTCTAACCATCCACACAGCACAGGGAGAATATGTAAACACCACCCACATGGGGCGTGGTTAGAATTTGAACCCCCAGCCCTAGAGATGTAAGGCAACTGCAAAACTCACTTTACAACCGTACTGTCCAGTTACAATCAAACAATGACATTATAATCTCCTCAAAAAAATCACAGTAAATCAAAGCTCACACACACAAACGGAAGTACTGCATATAGGCGTTACTCTGCTTTAAATCTGATAAATCAAGCGCCAAAATGAATAAAGATTCGTTCCAAAAATAAAAGTTATTAATAAACGTTGATCAGTAAAACAGATTCTGAAAACGTGTGTGTGTGTGTGTTTGGGTACTGACTGACTAAACGTGTTTCTGGTTTTAATGTCGGGCTCGGGGCTTATAATATAATACAACTAATACTGCAAAATCTCGCACAGACGTCCAGTTGCCGCACTGTCGGAATATCATCATAAACAGTAAGCAATACGTAAAGTGCCCCCCCCCCCCCCATGTCAAATTAACGTTACTGTCAGCCTTAACGCAGCTACCGAATGTTTTACACACAGGCTTCCAGTGCTACACGGGAGGCGCAAATTTTAAAACTGCATCGACCCAGTTTACAGCAAACCTTCTCATAGTCGCCAAACCTTATCAGCCCGCAGAAACTTCCTCCCTCCAGTTCATTCATTCAGTAAAAACTAATTTCCTTTATGTGCACGCATGCATGTCCTTTCGATATCAGCTCGATCTCTTCTGGCTTTGTGCGGCTACTTAATTTTCCATGTACATTAAAGGATAAATAATAACAATAACAATAAAACGCAAGCGTGCGGATGTTTGTCATCATAATGAATACGCCGGGTTTATGGGACGGAGCCCCGGCTGCTTCGTACAGGCGTCCTGTGACCCGGGCAGCCAGCCGACGCGCCGCCGAGAGGCAGGAGCGGCCGGCGAGCGAGCGACTGAGGCTGGGGTAGCGCACCGGTAGTCGGCCGCAAGGTGTACTGCAATTCCCCGTTTAGGTTTTGTGCAAAAGGCCGCACTGCGGGGTTCGCACGGCGTTTAAAAGAACCACCCCCCCCTACACACACTCAAGCTAACTGAACGGGCGGCATTAAAAAAAGGCACGGCGGCTGATTACCAGCGTGAGCAGGGGAGGCCGACATATTACCCAGCTGTGTCTTCCGCACGGACGCCGGTCTGCGGGCTGGGGCGCGTCAGCAAGGGGCGCCGCCGTAGGATTAGCCTTGCGCACAGTACCCGTCCGGCGGAGTCCGGCGCAGACACTGCGGGGAGCGAGAGGCGGCGCCCGCGGCCGACGATCTCCGGGCACAGCGCCCTCTGTCATTCCCCGTGAAGCTGGCGACATACTTGTCGATGCGCCTAAGTGTATAACCTCCCCCCAAGACTGGTACAAATCAAACTTAAGTTTCATGAATCCGGTAAAATTTAACACATTTATTCAAAATCCTGCCAGAAGTCACCGTCATTTTAGGCAACCTACACCTCCATGATTTCCAACAATGTAACGATGCCGAATATAGATAGTGGTGTTGTCTCACCAAAAGGGGTTCGGATTAAGGTCACGCAATGCAGTACTCAGAACTGTGGGTTTGACTAATGGTTTAAGATTGTGTGGTTCAAGTCTTCTGGAGAGCATAGATCTCCATTACTGAGTGCTGTATTGACAGGTCGTTTTGTTGTTATATAGCAAATGTAATATCATGTCTCATACCCACACCTCTCTGAACAGGCTGTTGCTCTGTTACTATAAATCATTTGGTAGCTGTTCAAATTTTTATAATGCAAGTATTAAGTGGCAGTCAGGGTGGGTATATTACACATTGAATTACAGGGTCACCACTTTTTTATTATTAAAGTGTTTGAACAACACTCAAGTTCATTTCATAACTTTAACACGTTCAATCAATTTCAAGCAAAACTTAAAAAGAAAGTTTTAATACACACACTTTTCGGAGTGTCCTTTAGGCTGGTGCATGGTTGTGGGCATGCCCATAGAAAGCTTTATTTGTACTATACATTTAGGAATACTTATACTGAAATCAAAACTATAAAATAACATATATGGAATTATGACTTGCATATATATTCCTTCACTCTCTAGTCAAACTCCTCCAAAACCATTTCTCCTGTGTTTAGGTTTGGTGACCAGGCCATATGATGTCACACTATCCCTTGCCTTTGAAGGCAGCTTGGCATGACCAAACTTTTGAGTGGTACTGTATATGGGTGGCATAGTGGCTCAGTGGGTAGCACTGTTGCCTCACATCTCCATGTTTGATAGTTCAACAATAGTTCAATAGTTCAATAATTAACATTATAATGAAGCTGATTTTTCATTACCACATCTGAATGATTGATTGTGCATAAACAGAAATAAAGTGTTATAATTTCTCATAAAAATTAACTTACCTTAAATTAATTAACCAGCAGTTGTGGTCTCACCTAGCCAAGTCAGCAAAATTCAGTTTAAAAGATTACCCCTATAACTAGCAATGGTACAGACCCTGCGTCTCCTGTCATGGTCACAAAAAAAAGGTAGGGGACACCATGGATGGGATGCCAGTCCATCACAGGGCACAAGGTAGGGGACACCATGGATGGGATGCCAGTCCATCACAGGGCACAAGGCAAGGGACACCATGGATGGGATGCCAGTCCATCACAGGGCACAAGGCAGGGGACACCATGGATGGTATGCCAGTCCATCATAAGGCACAAGGTAGGGGACACCATGGATGGTATGCCAGTCCATCATAAGGCACAAGGTAGGGGACACCATGGATGGTATTCCAGTCCATCATAAGGCACAAGGTAGGGGACACCTTGGATGGGATGCCAGTCCATCACAGGGCACAAGGCAAGGGACACCATGGATGGGATGCCAGTCCATTATAGGCATGCACAGGAATTCTGAGAAAGCACCTCATCTAACCTCAATGGAAACCTACACATGCATACAGTAGGAAGAACAGAGAAACTCACACATAACCGTGCAGGCATGAGGCCACAGCGCTAACCAGCAAGTCATAATGCTGCCCACTTAATCTTAAATGTCCCGGTAAAAATGTCTACCTCTGTAAGTGGGGATGAAATAATGAGTTTCTGCGGATAAAACCATTACTCTGAACAATCTGTGAGTGTAAGATTTTATTAGCCCTGGACAGCTGTCATGGCATGTAAAGAATATCACCGTCAGCGGTGATAGGCTGCAGGGTGGAAGACCAGCGCCTATTGGGATGAACAGGACTTAAATAGGGAGAAGACTGCAATGCAGGAGAACTACACAAAATGCTGAAATGGCACCTTTAAGAAATGAAACTCATAGACTGACTAAAAGCCCTTAGGTACATTGAACTGCAGCCAAACAAAACCCAGATACTACACTAAAGCCTTGGAGAGGTCTTCCTCCTGGACTTTTCTCATCTCTTTTCTAACACTCCTCTACTATTCTCCTGCCTTCTCCTAATCCGAGCTCCTACAATTCCCTAAGATATTTAGGATAAAAGGGTCAGCTGGATTTCATTTACCGGGTTACCTGCAAAAGCAGTGCTGCCATGGAAACGATGCTTTGGCCCATCACCCTGCCTTCTGCTGACCCATATGGGGTAATCTTAAAGGACGCATCTAGGCCATGCAGCTCAAAGCCCATCTCTGTCCTTATCGCATCATACTCTGTTTCGCTGATACATTATTTATTTGGGCAAACAACATACAATGTGACAGTTCAATGGGAAAGCACCAAAATGCTGCTGTATAGATTTGTTAAAGTTTTTTATATAGAATTTTCAAATTCAATGCATTTTTATCGTCACAGTTGATTATTTGGTATTGAACTTAGCAGAATTCTTGCGCTCAAGTCCACATATGAATGGAGGCGGTTTTTTCACGCACTTGGGTGAACTTTTACTCAGTCTTAACTCGGATTCGAACAAGAGTTTGTGTGTAAGACATCAGGTAAAAATAAGCACAAAGTGGAATGCAAATATTGCAATGCATTGATAACAGGTGTTTTGCTGGGCTTTGAACTTCTTTATTTATAGGAAACATAAAGACTGGAATGTAGGCTAAGCCTAGCGAAACAGTTTGTCACTACAGTGTATGTGTCTAGCCAAAATTAGTGTTACATAGTAATGTAGCAATAGCTATTCAGCTATCTACTTAACATGTTACAATAATAATTATTGTTGAACTTTATTAAATCTGGTGTCCGAAATCCTCTTTTTCACATTGCAGACCTTGCTCTGCTATTCCAGCATTTTGATACCAGTTGGTCAGTGTGGATGTGAGGACAGACTCTCTGACAGGAGTGTAAAACTGCACCAGTAGTGTGGGGGGTGGGGTCTCTCTGCTAATTTTGTTATAAGGATTTCAATATACCACGGTATGCCATGTTACCATAGCGGCGCCCAAGCCTAGGCTAATAACTTTAAAATGCTTGAAAAAGTTTACTTGTTTCACTACACTGCTTGTATTTGGGTTTCTTGCAATACATCCGCCTTTTCCTGGTCTTGTGGAATATCACTGCTGTATGTACTGTATGCATCATGCGTGCCATCTGCAACTCAAACGTAGTATGAACACAAGCTGGCGCGCCAACAACCGTCCACAAGTCGAAAGCACGCGCCAAAAGGTGAAGTATGAACTGGCCTTTATGAAGTCAGTGATCTAAAAAGTAGCATCAGATGCTGGCATGTGGCATCGGGTACTGGGATGTGGCATCAGGGTACTGGCATGTGGCATCAGATGCTGGCATGTGGCATCGGACAATGTCTCAACTATTAGAACAATTGCATGTTCAAATTATGTAAGAGTTAATTGCAAGTTGATTTTTTTTTATACATTTTCCCCCAGATTTTTAGGAAAGCTCTATTTTTAAAGCAAACACATTTTAAATTATCCACAAATACATGTATTCACATGCTGTATATGGATATGAATCTCCAGGCTTGGGACTGTGACAGGTGACAGGCTTGATTTGCAGTTCCTCGTGGTATAAAACTGTTGTGTTCCTTCTGGCCAGCCCCCCAAGCTGAAACACATATTCACAGCTTGCATCACAACAGTGCCGACACTATTACCCAGCAATTTCCCTCCTTCTGTTCATCTTAGTTTCACCGCTCCGTATTGTAAAATACAAAGTCCCCAATACTTGCTCCAAAAATGCTGCTTTATATTAATGATAATTAGTGATAATTAATTAGTGGACATAATTGTATAATTTACACTTAATACTTCATGATTTACCAGTAAAATTGCCCATATGCACATGAAATTGCACACATATGCTGTGTTTATGTGAAGTTTGAGCCTCCTCCCGGTGTCACATGTGGGTTCCTTGCTGCATTACAAAGGCATGCAGTTAAGCCAACTTAATCTTTGTCTCTAATTTGCCTGTAGTATTTGCCCCCTGATGAACTGGCATCCTATCCAGGATGAACCCCTGCCTGGTGTCCTGTGCTGCATGGAATAAGCTGGAAGGTGGATTGGTAGTATTCAAATGCAATGCACCTGCTTTTGGTCGACACACCAGGGCATTCCATTATTTGTTTTCAGAAATGTTGAAAGAGGATTCTTTAGATTGTAATGGATTCCTTCCAATCAATGTTTTAAATCTGTGTAATCAAGAATATTAAACGTGCTTTAAAATCAATTTTTTTTTTTACCGACTTTGATTGTCGGTAAGCGTTTCAGTACTGTACCTCCTAACAGCAGGCAGCGCTGCAATTTTTGCATAGTCCGAACTAGTGGAAATACTAAAAAGAGTAAACATGCAGTGCACCTTGTCTCCATTAGATAATAATTGGAAAAAAAGTTCCTAGCAAGGCGCGTAAAATGACGTTAAAGAACGATGTTAATGAAACGTTTACCAGATGAGCTATAGGGGCTGATTTTTATGGAAGAGGATTAGGGCCACTATGAAAATATTATTTGAATTCTGACTTTTTTCTCAGAATTCTGACTTTAATCTCAGAATTCTGAGTTTAGAAAAAAAAGTCAGAATTCTGACATTAAAGTCAGATTTTAATATAAATGAAAATTGAAGAAAGTTTCGGAATGCATTAATGTGCAGCCTTTTAGCAGAGTGGACAAAGGTAAAAGCAGGACTGCAGATTTTGTTGATGCTTAATCTGTTTAGAGGATTTCTAATACCTGGTGTAGAACACCGGGATGTAATCGTGCTTATTAGTGCACGCATGGATTTTCATGGCAGAAGGTGTTACTGCCGCGTCTAAATTAAGGCGTGAGAAAGTAGCTGGCACTGGTTTCAGCTCAAATTAGTATTGTTTCACTGCACATGTAGTAAAAATGGGC